CATCTCCCATATTTAAAACATGATTAATAATATAATAAATATCTGAAAATGTGAGGCAATTTCCCTACCATTATTATTTTCATCCTCATCTCTATCATAGAGTCCGGACTCAGGGAAACTTAAAAAAATATATTCCTTGCCTTGTGATTCGAATCTTAAGTGGATACAAATAAACGTGACAGAACATATTATTAAGCCATCATTCAGAAGAATTAATTAAGAGATTCTATTACAAAAAATAAATAAATAAGAGATTCGAACTTATCTTTAGGGTTATTCCTATCCTCAACTGAAAATACTAAGGAAAGTATGCACTAAAAAAAATACTAAGGAAGTTGATTAAACCAATTAAATAAAAAATTAATTGCATCATTTCATATAAATAGTTGAATAGGTTTGTAATTAATTATGTCTAATTAAATCTGTTTGACAATTAATAAAATATATACACTCGTTTCTTGAGAGTGGGGTTGCGCAATATTTGAAGTGACACAGCTTGATTGATACAAAAACTTATTCAATTGTTTCAACAAACATTCTTGACTCAGACTGGGCGAAAAGTCAAGTAAATTATTTTATTCTACATGCACAATTTAACTGTCAAACATAGTAATATATAATAAATTAATTTTATAGTTTATGCAGTTAACATTTTTTTTTTTTATTGGTACATTGCCAGGAGGTATCCCCGTTCAACCTTTCCCAAATTTAAACTGTTTGAGGTAAGATTTGATCCCTACACCAAGCAATCCCTTAGGAGCTCAGCTGCCAACTGAACTAGCCTTGGGGGTTAACATTTCAATTTTAAACACACTACATTATTAACTACCAAAAACAAAAACACTAAACCATTCACATGCAGATGCAACCGTGAGATTTAGTCTAGCTCATGCAAGCTGCAGCGTACGGCAACGTCAATAGTTTATGCCTTTGTGCAGAATTTAAAGGCGTTTTCTGTGTTAAAATTGATAATTAATCAGATCTCTCTGGACTTCGACTGGGAATAATAAAAATGATTTTGGAAGAGCAACAATCGAATCGTATTCAAATTAGATTAAGTTGGATAATCATAAATCAATAAAATAAATAAATAAATAAAAAGCATTTTTAATTAATAATTTTACACCAAATTTTTTTTTGTTTAACTTTAAATACAAAATTAAAAATACATTATGTACCTTATATTATCCAAACATTTGCATAATAATATAATTTATATTTCTTTTAATGAGCAATATATATTTTTTGTCGATCCAAGAAATTACATGTCTTAGAAGAATATCTTAATTTTTAAAAAAAGAATTTTTATGTATTATTTGTATAATTTTTTTTTTAAGTTAATATTATTTTATGTTTATACTTAAAATAAAATTTGATGTAAGAGAATTATTTAAAATTATTAAGAAAGACATGTAATATTAATGATAGCAGTAAAATAGGAGTGGAGTTAAGATAAAAATAAATTTTGAAAAAAAAAACAGGTTTTTCTTACAAATCATAAATTTCGTCTTTAAAAAATATTTTATTCTATTTTTGTAGAAAAAGTTGAATCTTGATATACACATTAAAAAAAGGGTTTTATGAGTATAATGTTGTAGGATATAAGGAAATTTTCCTAACCTCACAATAAAGAAGAGAGAGAAAGTGGAATGATGTAAGAGAAAAAATAAACATGTAGACCCCACCTCTTAATTGTGTATGTAAGAAAGTTTTATTGGGTTATGTAACATGATACTAATAAAATCCTTAAAAAAAGTACTTTACTTTTTTAAAAATAAAAATTGACGAAAAACAAAACACATCCAAATGTATTTTTAAATAATCTATGTCATCGCCTTAGGTCAATGTGATTTGACACTGAATTTTATATTTTTATTTTTTTATCCAAGTCATTGTTTCAAATAATAAGGAATTGTTCACTTAATTAGAAATTTTGAATTAAAAATAGCGAATATGGTCAAGAGTGAACCACCTCTTAAATGGGTTATGCAGTTTTTAAACCGAATTAGTAAGGTAATCAATGAATTGTTAGATATATATATATAAAAACTTTTTTTATCGCTGTCAGTTTATCCATAATTAAAATCGCATAATCAAATTAAATAACACGTGAAATGTTTACAAAAATAAAATAAAATAATGACACGTGAAATAATCAATTTCGATATCATTTTCGCCTATTTTTTCTTGCAAGACCGCAGCGCTGTTTCTGGGTCAAGCCGTCAATTTAGTGTGGGACTCATCCCCATTCACACGTAGGTAAAATTAGAATATAAAATTAAAAAAATAGAGGACAGAGAATAAAAAAATACACCAATGACAAATATTTTTTTCATACATATATGTATATGGGCTTGTTATTTCTCAAGCTGCTTGTGATAATTTTATCTCCGGCTACTAAATCATAATCGTACAAAGATGGATGAATGGAGATAAAGAAAGAGAGAGAAAAAGATAATCATAACCATTCAAAGGTGAATCAATTAATATAAAAAAATAAATAAATAAAATGACAGTAGTTTTGGGGTGGCCGGAGAGAAACTTATCTCAAATTGCCGGAGAAATTTTTTTCTTTATATATATATGGATTCGCTTTTTCTACGGTCAATGTAGATAACTTATCTACACTGAGCCCAAAACGATGTCGTTTTGAGGCAAAAATCAAGATATTTTTGTAATTATAATTTATTTCAGGGTTATAATAGTTTTTTTTATTATAACTTTTTAATTATTTAACCCAAATCGACGTTGTTTTGGGGGCGAATGTAAATAACTTATCTACATTCACTATTGAAACATTAAAGCCTATATATATAGAGAGTTCACTTTTTCTGCAGTTTTATCTGCAGTAAGCCAATACGACATCGTTTTGGGACGGAAATCATGGTGTTTTTGTAATTTTAATTTATTTTAGAGTTATAGTAGTTTTTATATTTATAATTTTTTAAGATTTCAATATCAAAACGACGTCGTTTTGGGAATAAATGCAGATAACTTCTCTGCATTAACTGCGAAAACATTTTTCCTATATATATATATATATATATATATATATATATATATATATATATATATATATATATATATGACAGATTGGAAGAAGGGGGAGATTCTTGAACGAGGAAAATGATCCAATGACTTCGAAAGAATTGAACGAGGAGTTTTATGGACCCACTGGACCTCAAGCTTCTCATGCTGAAACATTTACTTTTCTAGTTAGAGACCAACGTCTTGGGGCTAACGTAGGATCTGCTCAGGGACCTTCTTGTCGAGCTTTAATATGATCAGATTTATAAGTAAGCATCTCTTGTAAAATATGAGCAACACCAAATCCTTCGAGGGCCCAGTAGCCAAAAGCATCACTAGTTTACGCTCTGACCCGAGTAGCACGGGACACATGGAATCCCGTGTGAATCAGCAAGGACCACCTTGCAAGGCTAAATACGCCTGGGTGACCGATAGTGATGCAGTACCCATCCTGAACTTGGTAGTTAAACTCTACTGCGGTGACGATACTATAGGGGAAGAGTTGCTCTTTATATATATATATATGGGCTTATCATTTCTCAAGCTACTTGAGACAATGTTATCTCCGGCTACTAAATCATAATCATACAAAGATGGATCAATGGAGATAAATGAAGAGAGAGAAAAAGAGAATCATAACCATTCAAAGGTGAATCAATTAATATAAGGAAATAAATAAACAAAACGACGTAGTTTTGGAGTGGCCGGAGATAACATTGTCTCAAGCAACTTGAGAAATATTTTTCCCCATATACATATATATATGTATATGATCACGTGAAAATAATTACTTAATTAAGAATTTTATCAACAAGTATCTATAACATATTTGTTAATAAAAACATAAGTAAATACTCTTTTTGGTCCTCAGCAAATTTCACGATATCCGCTTTAGTCCTTAACAAATAAAAAGGCCCATCGTGGTCCTTAAGAAATTTAAATTGAACTCATTTAGTTGAAATCGTGGTCCCTCACAAATTCAAAAAAGATCCATATTAGTCTCTCAAAAATATTAAAATGGGTCTATTTTGAATTTCTTAGGGACCACGATGGACCTTTTTATTTGCTAGGGACTAAAGCAGGCATAATAAAATTTGCTGAGGACCAAAAATGGTATTTACTCTAAAAACATTATAAAATAGAATAACATGAATTTATGATATATTAAGAGCCTGTTTATATTGACTTATCAAAAAAGTCCTTTTGTGACTTTCTTATTTTAAAAGTATTTTTTTATAAAAGCCACACAGCTATTTAGATTTTTAAAAAAATATTTAATTTTTGAAAAAATATTTGATTTTTGACTTTTGTTTTTTAAAAAGCTAAAATTTTTAGCTTCCGAAAAAGGCAGATTTTTGACTTTTTTTTTTATGAATTCTGCTTTTTTTAAAAACAGACATTTTTCGAGAAGTGTTTTTTTTTTTAAAATAGCTTTTGAAAAAGAAAAAAAAACGTCCAAAGAAGTTCTAATGTAGTGTTTGGTAGAAGATTTATTTTAGGATTGATGGGAAAGTGTAAGTGGATATTGGAAAATACCACGTTTGGTTCAGGTTTTTGAAAAAAATACTAGGCAAATAGAATAGATGGAGAAATGACTTTTGTGTTGATTTTTAGATAAAATTCACTATTACATTGAGATGTGGTATTCTGAGATAACTGAGTAAGTGAAAAAACAGGTGCGAAGTTTCTCCCGAACATAGATTTTGCAAATTTAAATAAATTTTCCTGATAATATTTCGATCAACCAAATAACTTTTTTTATATTTTCCTACCAAACTCACTTTTTAACCATTTACCTAATAATTATATTTACTAGTATTCAAAAAAAATTTCTAGTGAATCAAACGCCCTCTAAATGATTTGATGACATTGTAAGCAAAAGTCATATAATAGAAAGTGAGAAAAGGCTGGAGTGGTTACACAGAAGATCAGAGTCGTCAATTGAAGTGAGACCTTTTATATGAACGGATCAGAGGGTTCGTACATAGAATACGGTACTTGGGTTCACACACACTCTCTCTTACGCATTGATGCCGAACGTGTCCTCCTTCATTTCTACTCCAAAAATTGAGCATAGGTTTTGCTTTTGTTAAGAATTTCATTTCTGTATGGTGATTCCCTTTTGAGGTACGTAATGCATTTATGACTCAGGATCCCATTTAACTGAGGTTTCTATGTTTTGTGTGTGTGTGTGTTTTTTTTTCTTATTTGAAAAACCCATATACTATTTTCGTTGTAGGCATCTTGGAATACTTGTTTCTGGTATTATTCTGTATGTTGAATTCATTAGGATGGTGAATTTCTCAATTTGAATCATTGGTTGTTTTGGTGCTAAAGAAGAAAAACAAATTGAAAACCCTTTGTTAGTTTTGTTTTGGAATTAGGACTCACCTAGAAACTTATGATTACATACACTTGGCCTGATTGTCATGTCTAGCTATGTGTCTCTTTTTTTTTATTGTAATAGAGTACCAGTCATGTGATATGAGGATTCCTTAGAACTTATATTTGGCTAATGCATTTTATGTTCATGAGAAATTGACAGTTTAAATAATTACCAATATGTACCAAATGCAGACTTAACCAATATAGATGATATTGGTATATTGAATTCTGGGTGATAATGAAGTTATTGCCCTTTATTTCGTACAAAGACTCTCTCCATGTTTTCTTACCTGCGTCAGATAAGGAGAATTTACCCAAATATTCAAAACAGCCAATTTAGTTTCTTCCTGCTCTCACTTGGGCCTAGGGTTTTCATTTTTTGGAAATATCTCATAATATTATTATCGTATCTTAGATGATCTCTTAGAATTGGTTTCCATTTTTCCTTTATATTTTATGATCTTTTTTCCTTATTTAATTAAGATTAGGAGTTTGGTATTGGCTTGAATAATAGTTAGTACTTTGTCATTTGTATTACATCTTAACACATCATTTTGTCATTATACATAAGAGGATATCGTTCAGAGTTTTTTCTTCCCCGTTCCTCCTTACCTACCTAAAATATAATGCAACATGGTATCAACCTTGAGAATATTTTCTCCCTTCCACTGTGTTGAATTCATGGAACTCGATTACCAACAAAATCATATTTTATGTTTCTGTTTGCTCCTAATCTCTCCTTGGTGACTTTTGCCGTATTGAGCTTTTGGTCTCAAACTCGTGTTCTGTTGTGTGTCCTTGTTGTCGTTCCAGCTTCTTCTTTATGTAGATTGCCTTTATTTTAGTCTGTTTTTTCCGCAAATTTGCTTCATTTCAGCTTTTCTTTCTGCAGATTGACTTGGTTTTAGCTGGTCTTTCCGCATATTTGCTCCATTTTAGTCTGTCTTTCCACAATTTGGGCTCTGTTTCAGCTTGTCTATATGCATATTGGCTCTGTTTCAGCCTAGCTATTCAAAATTTACTCACATCTTACTCTAGTGTTTTCTTTACCTTTTGATTAACTACTTGGGAATATTCTTATGCTAATATGGATGCTGTATTTGGTCAAAGGCTTTTGTCTATTGAAATAAATCCACTATTCCAATTCATCACTGCATTTTCCTGTTGTGTGGTGAGAAATGATTTAGACTGATGATGTTCTTGAACAGATTTATCTCAGAAGCTTGATATTCTTGGTTTTGATTTGAATTTGAAGTGGTTGTAATGGGGAATATACTGAGTCTGAACAGTTCCAAGGCTAGATGGAGTGGTCCCTGTGAGGTTTTGCTAGGTGAACCTTGCAAGAGACAGAGGTTGTTGTCAACCTCCTGTGAGGATAACTCGAGACTGATTCCCTCCCTCCCTGATGAGATTTCCATTCAGATTCTAGCTAGAGTTCCTCGCATTTTTTATTTAAATCTCAAGTCAGTTTCTCGTGCTTGGAAGGCTGCCTTTGTGAGTTCTGAACTATTTTGTTTGAGAAAAAGACTTGGAACGATGGAGGAGTGGCTCTACATATTAACAAAGGTCAATGGTGATAAGCTCTTATGGTATGCCTTGGACCCTCTTTCCAGAAGATGGCAAAGGTTGCCACTAATGCCGAATGTTTCCTTTGAAGATGAAACAAAGAAGGGCTTGGCTGCCCTTCCCCTTCGGATGTGGAGCATGTTGGGTACAAGTATCCGGATTGCTGATGTCATAATGAGCTGGCTTGGTCGGAGAGATGCCCTGGATCGAATGCCATTTTGTGGTTGCTCCATCGGGGCCGTTGATGGTTGCATCTATGCTTTAGGAGGATTTTCAAGAGCTTCAGCAATGAAATCTGTTTGGCGGTATGATCCGGTTCAAAACTCTTGGACTGAGGCTAGTCCAATGTCAGTTGGTAGAGCCTATTGCAAGACAGGTATATTAAATGATAAGCTTTATGTTGTTGGGGGCGTTACTAGGGGTCGTGGTGGACTAAACCCCCTTCAATCTGCGGAAGTATATGATCCACATACAGGCACGTGGTCCCAATTACCAAGCATGCCATTTGCAAGAGCTCAGGTGCTACCAACTGCTTTTCTGGCTGACTTGCTTAAGCCCATTGCCACAGGAATGACTTCATACAGAGGGAGGTTATTTGTTCCTCAGAGTTTGTATTGTTGGCCATTTTTTGTTGATGTTGGGGGAGAAGTTTATAATCCAGATATAAACTCTTGGCTTGAAATGCCAATTGGAATGGGTGAAGGATGGCCCGCAAGGCAAGCTGGAACAAAATTGAGTGTTACTGTCAATAATGATCTATATGCACTTGATCCTTCAAGTTCTCTTGGCTCTGCAAAGATCAAGGTATATGATTACGAAGGTGATACTTGGAAAGTTGTTGCAGGAGATGTTCCTATTCATGATTTTGCTGATTCAGAATCCCCTTATCTTTTAGCTAGTTTACTTGGAAAACTTCATGTAATTACTAAAGATGACAATCACAACATTACAGTTTTGCAGGCTAACATGCAAAATGATTTAGTTTCCTCCCAGCCCTTCTTATCATCACCAGATAACTCATTCAGTGAACTTACCGAATCACCAGAGGAATCAGAGAGAGAAATTTGGAGGGTTTTTGCTTCTAAGAGTGGTAGATCTGCTGAACTAGTTAGCTGTCAATCCCTGAAAGTTTGATTACTTGGAACTAGTCCTTCTATGGTGGTTCTGCTGTTGGCTGGTACGAATGCTGATAGGCCACAAATATGTTACGATGATTTCAAAATTGTAAATGGTCCTTTCTCCATTGTATGATTGATCCATAAGGTGTAATTCCACGTTACTCTCGTACAGAAACAAATTAAAATTATACAAAGTAAGAATATCAAAGCATAGCACATCAAATCTGAAGGTTTCTCAAAACCTTCCTGTACATTGAGTATATCGACATACAGATTCATTTTGTGTTTGTAACAATGTGACAGATACTATCTTCAGTGAATGGATGTTAAATTTTTTCTGCCAAATGTTATAATTGCATTTGCTCTCTTATACATTGCATACCTGCAGAACGATATCTTTTTTTTTTTTTTTTTTAATACCATATTTATTCCAAGCTGTACTTCCTTGGTGATTTCTTTACTGAGAGGTAAAGTTTTTGCCTGAAACAAAACTTACTCAACACTCTTACGAGTCATTGACGTGTTTGATAGCTACTTTTTTATGTTACCAATCAGGCCCCGTAAATTACCTTTCACCCTTTTGTTTTGTCAAGGCATCTGTAAATTTGAGTATGTTATGCAATGTGACATTTTACGAATTGGATAACAAGGATTATCTGTTTATTATTGTCGCTCACGCTCCTTGACAGAAAAAGCCACATGATTAATAAAGTCATTTTTAGTAACTAATATTAGTAAGCTAACATGAGAGAGAAGAGAGAGAGGAGAATATACAGGAAAAGAAAATAGAAAAAATTCAATTTCAAGTAACATTAGCAAGCTTAATAATATTCTCATTTGTTAAACGTTAGTCCGGTGACTGAGTTTTCACAAGAGCAAGATAATCAAAGTGAAAGATGAAGTTCCAGATATTTATTGCACTACAAATACGTAATATATTATAAATAGAAGTTGAAAGTGTAATTCATCCGGGAATTCTCTTACAAGTAGAAGTAGTGAAGGCTTAGATTTGCCATTTTTGCTTTATTTTATGTATAGATTATAAAACTGACAGAAGTAGAGCACTAGTTTTCCTCTTGATAGAGAAGGTGTTTGAGTCTCTCTGAGGCTTCAATGATGGAATCTCTCGAGCCGAAAGCACTAATTCTTATATACTCTTCACCACCTGGACCAAAACCACTGCCTGGGACAGTAATTATGTGAGTCTTCTCAAGAATCTCAGCAAAAACATTCCAAGATTTTGAGCCAGGAAAATGGACCCAAACATAGGGTGCATTTTTACCACCATAAACTTTCAGACCAAGAGAAGCCAAAGCATTGACCAGTATTCTTGCATTCTCCATGTAGTGGTCAATAAGGGACTGCATGGCCTGAGAAATTTTCCAAAACAATATTTAGCAACAATGACACGTATGGCAGAACAGTTTCATAGAATTCATGGTAATTAAGAATGCAATAAATGCAGGAATTTTGACAAGTTGTACAGATTCTTAGGGAACTAGAACTTACCCTGAAACCTTCAGGAGACAGACATGCTAGGCCACCAGCCTGAGCTATATTGGATGCTCCATTAAAGCAAGTGCACATTATGCGGTTAAAATCATGTACAACAGGAAAGCCGTTTGAATATAAGAGTTCTTCCGGGACCACTGTCCAACCAAGGCGAACACCTGTGAAACCAGCAAATTTCGAGAAGGATGACACTTCAATTGCAACCTGAAAGCATAATGAGGAAAGAAAGAGGTTAAGCTTGTCATCATGGAAAATAGTGCATGCAAGAAACAAAGAAAGAAAGAAATGTCATGCAAAGACAATGCTGCATATGTCACCAAGTTCCTTTTACCACTCCTCTGGCTCTCCATGTCTCCATCCATTCAAACATAGTGTTAGAGTCCTAAAAGGTGAAACTAAATAATTCATATAACATTATGATGCACCAATATTAGAGAATATGTCTACAAGAAGCTTGTGAAAACAGCAAAATAAAAAAAAAATAAAAATGGAACCTAGCTAAATATACGACCATTATATACCTCTCTGGCTCCAGAAATTTCATAGATTGATTTAGGACTGTCATCGGTGATATAAGCTGCATATGCAGAGTCAAAGATAATGATTGATCCATTCACTTTGGCAAAATCCACAAGTTGCTCTAATTGCTCCCTTGTTGCTGCATGACCAGTGGGATTGTTGGGAGAACAGAAGAAAATAAGTTCTGGCCTTGAAATGGTAGCTAGATCCGGAAAGAAGTTGGTTTGAGGTCCACATGTCATGTATTCTATGTTTTTATACTTGCCAGCTTTATCTACAAACTCGCCAGCCTGACCTATTATAACACTCGAATCTATGTAGGCCTGCCTCAGAATAATTAGCCATGATTAAAAACACTTTCTGTTTGGTGATATGATGCAAGCATGCATTAGTCTAAGAGGACATTGAAACAAGTTGCACATTAGAGTGAAAAGATGGAAGACTTCAATAGTTGCTACAAGAAGTAAAATTTGTTTAAGAGGAATTATTGCTTGACCTATGATAGTATCCAGTTCTTTATAGTCCACAAAATGATAGTAAGCAAAACTAAACCCTAGGGAAATGGAATAAAAAACTTAGATAACTGCATGACATCCATTGCTTGTTATTTTAGAGGAATGAGTCCACAATAATTGCTAACATCTATATAATGGATCATATTAATAGATATATGAATCACTCAGTAATTATAATACCGGAAAGGATGGATCCTGTACAGCTATCTTCAGATTTGGACCCATGAGCAGCTACACAGATTGAGACAGGTCAAAGTCAGTACTTCATATCAAAGTGAGCAATTAGCAAATGAATTTACTTAACAATGAGGATGAAACATTCAAAACATCAATGCCTAATTAAAAAGGTGTATTTTAAGAGGAATAGGGGTGAGCCCAGTGGACCAGTTACTGTTACTTAGGGTCAGTTTAAAGTTGTTGAGAACTGTATTAACAGTTAGTAGTTAGAGATAAATGACACGGTATAAATAGTAGGAGGAGAATAATAGTTTTTATTAATAGTAGGAGATAAATAATAAAAACTGTATTAACAGTTTTTATTTTAGAGTTGAGATTGAGAGGTAGAGCCATGACTCTCAGACTTCCTGGATTGTGACTTGTGAGAGACACCTATCTGTATCTCGTGATCTTCCCTCCTCTTGCATGATTCTGTAATCACACTGATTCAGATTCAGAGAGGAGAGGAGAGCAATATTCAATAAAGGTCCTATTCTTCATTCTTCTGATCTAGTTCCTATTAGTGCAGTAGGTAGGTAAAAAGTTACTAAGATTTGACTAGGAATGAAGAAAAGTAAAGTAGAATACAATAAACAAATATGATTATGAAATAGTATTGATGGAATACCTGAAGACGAGCAATATCACACTGTGCACCATCTGAAACAAAAACCTCTGAGGGTTTTATCCCTAGATATTTGTAGAATGCATCAGCAATTGCCTTCCTCAAGGCCTGCAATGTCATTTTGCCATAATATATACATTTTATTTGAATGTCATATATTATAATGATCTACTATATTACAAATGGAAGTCCAAATAAGTGGATAAACATAAATTGCTAGACTCAAGGTTGATAGCATGTAATTCAATGCAGAAGCACTTTAAGAACTAGTGAAAATTGGAGGCAAAATCATGCAGAACTAATAAAAAAAATTCTATTTTTTTATTTGAAGATTTTTTTTTTTTTTTTTTTTTTGGGGGTCTTAATGAGGAAAAATGTATTAATTGCTCAAACAAGCTCAGAGATACCTTTTCACCTTGCTCAGGTCCATATCCTTTATAACCTTTTGCTGTTGAAAGGCCTCGCACAAACTGCAAAACACAGTATGAATGCACATTTTCTCATCGAAATCAACATATAGACCAATCTTACAGGTTATTGGCTATCCTAATTCAAGAATTAGCTGAAACCATTTCTCTTGAAAAAGCAGGCAAGAAGAGCAAGAGTGAGGGGTTCAAATATCTTATCAAATACTTTATCGTTGATATTTCCAAATTAAGATAATGATATAATTAATTATAGCTCGCATGGTTTGTTTATTTTAACCTAAAAACAAATACATCAAGTGAAGAGATGGCAAAATGGGTCGACCCGTCCCGACCTATCTTCAACCCTCTAGAAACGGGGCTGAGGGGGTTAACCCACTATTGGATGTTGGGTTGGAAATATTAAGTGTATTCTCTCTTTTTTAAGCTAGAAGCTACTTATAAGCATAAGCTAGGCCAACCTGATTTTGGGAAAAACTCTTATAACGAAAAACTCTTTTTTTTATAATGAAGAAAAAAGCTGAAAACTAAAAGCTCCTATAGGAGAAGCTGAGCTTTTTTTTTAAGCTCTTATCTGTTTTTCTTGAATTGTGTGCTTTTTTTTTAAACGAAGAGTGATAGAGAGAGAGATAATTTTTTTGAAATATGTGTTTTTAAGTAATTTTTAAGCTAAATTTTTTATGTAATTTTAAGCTTTTTTTTTAGCTTTAATTTATAAATAACTTTTAGGTGGGTTGACAGGTTAGCCAGCCATCTTATCAAAATTTATTGAGTTGATGGGTTGGCCCATTAACCCATTGAAATATTCATTGAAAAAAATTTCAAAAACTAATAAATATAAAAAATTTAACCTAATAATATGTAATTTATTTTTTTATAATTTAAAATTAAAAAAATTCTTATCCCGCAGATTGATCCGTCCCGAATCTGTTTTAATCCGCCTAAAGGCACGGCCGGTTAAATTTGATTGATGGGTTGATATGCATAATTCAATCCATTCTATTTTGGCGGATTGACTTGTGTATCAGCATGTTGATTTGTGTTTCAGCTCTTAAATAAAAAAAGAAAAGTTTTCTGTTATTTTGTTTAGTATATCTTTGTCAATATATGCAATGGCCAAAGAAAAAAGTCCCTGTAGCTGGGGGATGGTTGTTAAACAAGCATGACACAGTTTTC